CTGGTCGTAACCTGAAAAGTTCGTTAACAGAGGCGTTCGTAACCCGAGGTACCACTGTATTGGGGGAGCATGGAAGAAGCATTGGTATACAACTGAAGTGGACAAATAAGTTATCTTATTTTTCTCTTTTCATAGGATACCCTCAAGATGCTGTTGGGCAAATTTAGACAAAAGTCAGCTTATTATCAGGACCCAAGCAAATTGTGATTTTTAAAATCTTGCTAAGCGAGAAATATCCTGTTGTTCCCATCTTGAAAACCTGCAATTTTATACAGAATTCTGACATAATATCTAACTATTTAGATACTTCTTTCATTAGTGTTAATTCTTATTCCTTAAAACTAGTATTTGGTTACTTACCCCAGATTACTTTGCCCCCTTGGGTGACAAGACCAAGTTCACTCACGTTCACCTCGATGACTGTACCTTTTGTGATTACCCCCAAAGAAGTATATAGAGGAGAAGAAGGATTCTTTTTTACCCCAAGAATAGGTAGACAAAACGTGGCTTTAAGTTCAGGATGTGTTACGTGGGCCTTCTTAAATCGCAAACCCTATTATTCAACAAAATAAATAAAATTCTTCATAAGTAGCCTTAGAAAAAAGGAGAATTTAAACTAATATATTTATTTTTTAATTCCAATCACACATAAATGGATTTAGTTTTAAACTGAGAAAAGTTAATAGCTCTCTATGAACCTTCACGACTATGATTCCCTCCAGGTAGGTGGGCTACAACTGCCATCAGTTCCATGTAGCTTGTCCTAGTTTTCATTATCACTAAAGGTACCACTATGTCTTTCTCTTTACTGAAGATTGAACATGAAAAAAGTACATACTGCTATGAAAATATTTACCATTGGTCGAATGAAGCGTTCATATTTTGGAGGTTTTCTGGTAAAGCCATCCCCAACAAAACATACTTTTGTAACCATTCTTTTCCAAGCCTTCTTCTTTCGCTTTCCTGTGCGAATCACTTTGAGCACTTCAGTTTCTCCCTGGGCCCTGACTTTGGGTACAGGAACCTCCCATTTCCCCTAAAAATAAATAAGTATTGCTAGGGTGCAAAAGATGAGAAAGGATACATGTACACACATATAGTACATATTGCTTAATTAGTTTTGCAACATTAGTTTGTCTGACAAAATAACAGAATTATTGTATCTGCATGGGGCATTTGTAAAGTCTGATTTGATTCCACAGACACCTGCTATTTGTTCTTCCTACAAGAGAAATTTGGTGCACAGGAAAATTACTTATATCATCATAAGCTTTGCAACAGGCAGAGGAAACCTTCCAATACTCAGGATTGCATAAAATTCCTCTCTATTTATACTGGAGTTTGGAGCAATAGGAAGCAGAGTGTATATTAAACATTGGAAAAAGTCAGAAATGGGCATATATCTTCCCACAAAGTGCAATCTAAACAGAAGTATTTCTCCCCAGCAAAGTATTTTAAGGTCAGTTCTTTGTTTTCTAGCCCTTTCTTGTATACCAATTTAGTTTTGCTTTATACAAGCAATCACATGTTTAAAAAAGTGATTACTTTTTTTACTTGTGATTAAAAGTTGGAGGTATAAAAATACTAAGTAAACTATAACATTTATTTAGATTTTTGAACAAATCCAGTAATTCCCTACCATATGTGCAAAACTGATATCCTACTTAGAACAGAAAATTGAAATAAGCATCCTTTATTCTAAATGGATACCAGAGCCATTACTTTGCAAATCAGTATTTTAAAGCAATAGTAAAAATCCTGGCAAATTATATTAACTGAAGCATCTGCATGACTTACAGCTTTTTCTTTTCGTTTCTGTTTGATCATGTTGGAAAGAACTTTTGCTCGTGATTGGCTCTCCCTATCCAACAGGTATGCTGGTACAGCGCCTTCTGGGGTCTTGTCATCATTCTTCTGCTTGCTATTTCTCTTTTCATGCATCTTAATACTAGAGGGATAGATACATCAAGGTGCTTTGCAGATGTTTCACAAATAATTGGGCAATAAACACTGCCAACTGAAAATAGTTTTAGTAACAGGCATCTTAAATGGATCCCAATGCTTTTACAAGAGAATCATACTAATAATAGGCAAAATATGCAACATTAATATCAACTGTAACATGAAGCACTTTTCCTAAAACAGCTGCATAAAGAAAACAATATTAATGTTATTATATCTATTGTCCCAGTAACGGATACCAAAAAACAAATAATCAACACCATACATTCTAATGAGGCTAGATCAGAACAATACTATTTATTATAACAAAGTAATTAAGTTTATAATAAAAGTTGTCTCACGTTTTTTTCATCTGTATTTTCTCCGCATGGCGCTGTTTATGATACAGTTTAGCTTTTAATCCAATCATTTTCTTGGCTTTCTTTGAGCGCTCATGAGCCTCACGGCCCTCTTTCTTCCTTTTCTTTTCATGGTAATCCAAGCGATAACCATATCGCTTCCGATGTAACTCTATATACTCGTTTTGTGGCTGTGAGTTAGACAAAAGTTTAGAAGTTAAGCTGGTAAAATTATACCCATCATTTTTTTCAGTGTCTGTATTTACACAAAGATTATTTTTGAGGTTTTCTCATCAGCAGATTTCTACCAGAAACTAGACATCTTGTCATTCATATTTAGTCTCAAAATAATTATACATGGATCTGTCACTGAGTAACAAGTTTATATCTATCAAAAAAGAAGCCACTGTAAAAACAAATAAAAACCCACAGCCATACATCCATTTTACTTTCACTGTTTTCACTCTGGCCATTTTAAGCAAACAGCCACAAAGAAACTTCAAAGTGAAACTCCAGCATGAAACATTCAATTAACAGTTTATCAAGAAATCAAATTCCATCACCTGACACATGAAAAATAGTTTTATGCCATTGCAAGTGTTAATTAGCTTACCAATAATGGCTAGCTTATTAGATTGACAATGCTTCACAAATTTGACTATAATGATTTTGTATCTCATATCTCATATTTTTTGCCATTTGTAATGGATCATACAATTAGTGACTTGAACTTCATAAAAGCACACAATTCCTCCACAAATATGAAACACAGCCAGGGAGAGATACACAAAAAAGAGAGAACAGATTATTTCTAGTCAGAAATGGAGAATCTGCGATCTGCCAGATGATACTGAGCACCTCTTATTATCCTTCACCATACGTCATGATGGGCAGCCGGGCTGCTGGACGCCAGTTCATCAATAGCTGAAAAGCCGTGGACTGCCCAGTCCTGCATTTGCTCCTTTCTGCTCTTGAATTAGCCAGACAGTAAGCAACTTGTGCTATAAAATGACGTTTGTTGATGTAGCATTGAGATACTAAGATGCGAATCTTCGGAGATCAATAGAGAACAGCTGCAGCCTCAGTGATGTGTATTATTAGACTGACGTCTGCGCCACCACCACTATTATAAACGTCGGACAATAAGCGGAAACTCCGAGCACCCAGTTCTCCTCTTTCTCTTTGTGCTCTACGAGGCAGTTCCGTGGTCCCTTGAACGCCTCCCCGCCCCGCTGCCGTTCAAAAAGTCCACGGCCAGTCAAACGTGCCCCCTCAGCCTCCACTCACCATAGTAGGTCGGCGCCCGCAGCCCAAGCAGACCCCGGCACAAAACTACCCGTCCCTCTCTCCAGAGAGAAAAAGGAAGGGCGTCAGTCAAGCAAGTCCGGGTAATAACCAGTCCCACTTTCGGCCGTTCCGCGGACTAGCGAAGGAGCTCAGGTTCTTCGTCCTCACTCCCGCCGCGCCGGCCCGTCTGGAGTGTATTGTGAAGAGAAAAGATGAACGGCTGAAGAAAAAAGACTAAACTATTGCGCGCAGGCTTTTCTTTGGACGCTTCTCGGAACGCATTCGGAGAAGTGGGGGGGAGAGAAAAGAAGCAGGGACCCCGCGAAGGAAGTGACGATTTCCACGTGGGGAGTAAACCGGAAGCTTCCGGACAAACCTCCTCGAGTGTGTCTGCGGCGCTCGGAGGGAGCTGGGGTAGTCGAATAGGACCTTTAGTTTCCGAAGGGTGTCTTGTTAAGACGAATAGTAGCGCTGCTTCTATAGGATTTAATTTGATGCATCGATTTCCATAGCATAAAGCGCTTTTTACCTGAACTACCTTTCCGGTAGCAGCGATTTACATGATTAGGCTGGCCGGTGAATATGCTTCGAAATACAAGAAAAATGATCGTGCCCTCTCTCCAAGGGGTACGTTTATACGGCGTGGTTTTTCAATGAGTGTATAAAAGTGAAACAGTTAATATTGCACGGATGAAATACTTCGCTTTCGTTAGCTTAGCGGGGTTCATGAAACTGCGGTGGGTGTGTGCATTAATGTGTCTAAAATGACACACCATATAATCTAGAATAAATTAGCATTCTCTTTAGTAACATGCATTATGCTATTATGTTTTTTTTTAATTGCAAAGTAATAGGATTTTTCTGTTTTGATGGGTATCTTTTCTTCAAAGTGTACGCATTGCAGAAAAGCAAGAATTCTCACTATAAAATGCTCCAAAGACTTTTTGAATCGTCAAAGAAATTACAGTCATCCAGCAGGTAATTTCTTGAAAAAGTATTTCTAAATCTGTATTGCTTATTTGTCTCTAGTACAGTGTTTCTCAACCTCCGCAACTTTAAGACGTGTGGACTTCAACTCCCAGAATTCTTCAGCCAGCATGGGGAATTCTGTGAGTTGTCTTAAAGCTGCTAAGGTTGAGAAACACTGCTCTAATACATTGCTATAAAGAGAAAGAAATAGGTGATAATGTAGTACGATTTTGAATATTGTTTTTACTTATACAGTATTGTATTGGTAGTGCTTTCTCTTACATTGAAATTCTGCAGGCAAAAGAAGATAAAAAGTTCCTAATTTTTCAGGTTACTTCTTGGTTATTTTGTTGAATATTTTAAAAAAATTTCTTTAAGATGGTCCTGTACAAAATACATTTTCGTACAGAACACATACTGCACAATATATCTACACATGCATTGCTGATAGGGAATAAATCCTCTGTATAGCCCCCAGTCATGTATGTAGTGTACTTGCAGTGTGAATATTTTGCTAGATAGCTTAGTGATACTATCAAGTCTGATTGCTGATCATCTTTTGTGAGAAAATGAATTTAGACATTCTTCTCACATTCCAGATTAAGTGTGATTAGCATTTTTGGAATAGACAGTGTTTCTTATTTCTTGAAACGGAAAAAGTAGAGGAACTTCTCTTCAATAGCAGAGTACCTCTGGTTGGAGCCTGTATGTAGTGTAAAACATGGTGCTTTCTATTTATTAACATAATTACAAATGTAAATGCCAACAATGTTTTTATTTGACAGGTGAAGTAAAATCTTTACGTTCTGTTTTAACTCCACCAATAACTAAGTAAGTAATAATGTTTTTTATATGTAAAATATAGAAGACTTCCTTGGTTATAAGACTGGAAAACTCATTAGGCAACAAATGTTTAAGTTACATTAGAATGGTGTCTGGTGTGGGTCTTCCGGGCTGTGTGGCCGTGTTCTGGAAGTTTTGTTTCCTAACAATCATCCTGGGCACAGAGAGAACTGCTCCTGTCTGTGCTCCTGCTCTCTGAAGATGCCGG